ACTGCCTGGGGTCAACTGGAGGCATCCGGACCTTTGTGTTCCAGGGAGAGACGGACGCCCACCCTCCCCTGGGAACATCTAACTGCCCAGGACAGGAATGTTGCAGCTTCTGAATCTCAAAGCCCTCACTGCACCCTGTTTACTCCCTCCTGTTATAAAAAGTCTGGCTTGGAAAGAGAAGAAGGTCTGTTAGGGTATGAACCCACCATCTTCTCAGATCACCAGCCATCTGAATAAAGCGCCCATAAAGATTCAACTGCTGTCATTGCTTATTGCATTTGGTAGTGACAGGCAGCCCAAATGCCAGTGTATTTTCTGGTTTTGCTACCTTACTATCCAAAAACACCTGAGAAAAAATAAATTTTCCAAACATTTTTATTCAGAAGAAAATGATGATGACATTTTCTATAAGCTTTTGACTGTCCACTGGGACAGGGCAAGAAAGAAGCGGGGCTGGTGTGTGAACACTGAGGTCCCTAAGAATCTGTGTGGCAGAGCTCAGAGATCTTCCTAAGAAGGGAAGGCCCAGGATGGACTAACAAGTCTCACCACACTGGCTCACAGAGCTTCAGGCTCCTTCAATGGGACAGCCAGGCCCCACACATCATCATCTTCCCACCCCTCCTAGTTGGAAGCTTCGTGTTCAGACCAGGTACTTGACTCAGGCACCACTAACCACAGATGAGCATGTGCCCACCTTGATATTCTGTCATTGAAATATGTCCTGTTAAGTTTGAAGATGCCTTTAGACACAGTTTTCAGCAACTCCCTCCTCTTTTCCCAGCCTCGCAATGTGAGAACTCTGCGTATGAAACCTCCGCTGGTTCATTCTACCCTGACACTTTGCTGCATCAGGCTATGGGTGTCTGTGGAAAGAATGCTGAGCTGTGAGTCTTTGTTTCAGATAAAGAGCATTGGGAGGATTAGGGAGGGGAGCAAGAGTTCATGAGATGCTGAGGACCGTGAATTGGGGATGGGGTAAATGAGGGGGCTCACCTTCAGAGTCACTGGAGCAAGGGAAGTGAGGTGGGGGAGAAGAGAGAGCCATTCCAGGACAGGAATGTTGCAGCTTCTGAATCTCAAAGCCCTCACTGCACCCTGTTTACTCCCTCCTGTTATAAAAAGTCTGGCTTGGAAAAAGAAGAAGGTCTGTTAGGGTATGAACCCACCCTATTGAGGTGGTATTGAGAGGCAGGATGGCTTTTGGAAAAAACAATGAGATACTTAAAGACTCAGGTGAGTGCCTTTGATGTTGGGACCCAACAATTCATTTGGAAAGTTAAGTGTGTACTCCTATAGCTGGAAAAGAAGTATAAGAGGAGAATGGGGAGAGAAAGATAGAGATAGAGATAGAGAGAGAGAGGGAAAGAGAGAGAGAGGGAGGAGGAGAAGAAGAAGATGAAGAAGAGGAAGAAGGAGGAGGAGGGGGAGGAGGAGGAGGAGAGAAGGAGAAAGAGAGGGAGAGAGAGAATGGTGGGTGTGCTGGGACTAGACAGAATGTGTCACTATGCAGAGGTAGCCAGAGGAACTAGCCAGCTCTAAGTACCGGGGGAAAAGAACATGCTGTTTAGGAATTGGTGGCCCCAGAGGAAGAGGAGCTGAAACCCTGGGAGAGGGGTGAGAGGGATGAGAGGGATATTCGGGGTGAGAGTGAGACTGGGGAGGGAGAAGGGATGGGAAGGTGTGGGAACCATGCAGTAGTCTGAAGGTTGAAAAGGAGGTGGGAGGAGATTCCAAGAAAAAAGGAATTCAAGGGTCTGTGTCATATTTGAAGAAGATTACAAAACTTAAGCCTGGGGGAAGGATGAGAAAGGCCAGAGGGCTGGTGTTGGGGGAAGCATATGGGATAGAGTCCAGGAACCCCCCTTTTCCAAAATCAGGATCCAGGTTATCTTTGTAAGGTGCTGACCAAGGGGAGATAAGCTATGCTCATTTTTTAAGGCCATTCTGAGTCAGGCAGTTTGAGCTTAGCAGGGAAGCACCTTAGAAATGTAAACTGATGCCTCTCCAGTACTCTAAAATTTTTGATAGCAAGGCTAAAATTGAGAGTAAGTGTACACAAAGGAGGCACCCAGTAGAGGATAAGGAGCAGAGTGACAGTGGGTATTGGGGTGCCTGATGAAAGGGCATCCTCAGAGGTCTTGAATTATTGGGGTTTTGAAAGGAATTGTATCAAATATGGACAAAATTGGGGGTCTTCCAATTCCTGAACACAGATGTCTTTCCAATTTGCTTTTCTTTTTTAAGTTTATGACAGCAACATTTGGTGGTTGGTTAACTTTTCCCAAATATTTTATTCTTGCTGCTGTGATTGTAAATAAAATTTTCTTAATTTTATTTTGGGTTTGTTCATTTTTGTGCAAAGAAATAAGGATGCTACATGTTGATTTTTTTCCTCCTGAAATTTTGTCTTATTTATTAGTTCTAACAGTTTTTATGTATGTGTGTCAGAATCTTCGAGATCTTCTTTTTTATTCTGTTTTATTAATTATGCTATTATAGTTGTCCCAATTTTCCCCTTTTGACCCCCCTACACCTAGCATTCCCACTCCCTCTGGCAATCCCCCTGCCTGCTTTGTTCATGTCCATGGGTCATGAATATAAGTACTTTGGAATCTCTGTTACCTCTACTGTTCTTAACATCCCTTGGCCTATAACTACCAGTTCTGTAACTACCAATTTGTACTTCTTAATCCCTTCTCCTTTTTCCATATTCCCCCAAACCTCCTCCCAACTGGCAACCATCCAAATATTCTCCATATCTATGATTCTATTTGCTTAGTTTACTTTTTAGGTTCAATTGTTGATAGTTATGTATTTATTGCCATGTTAATGTTCATGGTTGTAGTCTTCTTGTTTTTCTTAAATAATTCTCTTTAACATTTCATGTAATCATGGTGATGATGAACTCCTTCAGCTTTACCTTGTCTGGCAAGCATTTTATCTGCCCTTCGATTCTATATGATAGCTTAGCTGGATAGAGTAATCTTGGTTGTACTTAAATCTCTGCTTTTCTTCACCTTGAATACTTGCTAATCCCTTGTAGCCTGCAAAGTTTCTTTTGAGACATCAGCTGACAGTCTTACGGAAAATCCTTTGTAGGAAACTATTTGCTTTTCTCTTACTACTTTTAAGAGTCTCTCTTTACCTTTAAACTTTAGTATTTTAATTATGGGGTGCCTTGGTGTGGTCCCATTTGGGTCCATCTTGTTTGGGACTCTGTGCTTCCTGAACTTGTATGACTATTTCCTTCACTAAATTAGGGAAGATTTCTTTCATTATTTTTTCAAATAGGTTTCCACTTTCTTGCTCTTTCTCTTTTCCTTCATTTCTGATTGGGTCATTTTTATGCTGTTGACTACCCAGTGAATTCCTTGAGCCTTCTTATCACCAGCGTTTTGAACTCTGCATTTGATACATTGCTCATCTCCATTATGTTTAGTTCTTTTTCTGGAATTTTGAGCTGTTCTTTTGTTTGGGCCATGTTTCTTTGTCTCCTCATTTTGGCAGCCTCTCTGTGCCTTTTTCTATGTATTAGGTAGAGCTACTTTGACTCCCTGTCTTGGTAGTGTGGACTAATGTAGTAGGTGTTCCGTAGGGCCCAGTGGCACAGCCTCCCTGTCACTCAACCTATGTACTTGAGATGAGCCCTCACGTATGCTGAATTCAACCTCCTCTTGTAGTTGAGTCTTGATTGCTTTCAGCAGGTCAATAGGAGGAATTTACCCAATACAGCCAGTTGGTAGGACTGGCTTGACCACTGGCCACCAATCACCTCCCTCAATAGCTTGTAGAGGTGGTGGTGCTGTGACATGGTTTGTAAATGTCTACAGGGTGCACAGGTTCTGGGGTTTCTTGGGTGGTGCAGGCCAAGATCAGCCACCACCTGTGTTCTGTCTGGGGCCATCTAGCATAAGCTATAAAGCAATCTGTAGATGGCTGCTGGTAGTGATGGACCTGTGGCCACTCTGTGAGAGGTACAGGGACTGGGTTCAGCTGTTACTTGTCTGAGTGGATTTAGGTAGCTCTGAAGCCTGTACCTAACCCAGCCCTTCACATGGAAAAGCTACTGTTACCAGCTTGGGTGGTCCCCTAAGTTGGATGGGTTGAAGCCTTAGTTAATCACCAGGACAGGGCGAACTGTCTGAATCAGATTGATGGAGCCTCAGATATGGTGCCATTACTCTGTGGCTCTGTGTGAGAGAGGGCTCAGAAAAGGAACAATGGCCACTGCCTGCAGTTCTGTCAGGGACAAGCTGTTCCCTAGATCTCACACTGATGCCAGACATTTCAGTTTCTCCCTGTATGCCACTGGTATCCTTCAAGCTGCTGCCTCAGTGCTGGTGCTCAGAGGGAATGAGTCTGAGTAAGTCTGTGTGTGGAGCCCTTTAAAAGGAGATGCCTGAAACTCTCACCTAGGATGGTAACAGAACCTGTGACATCAGCGTCAGGAAACTGTGCACACCCTCTTATTTTCCCACTTCATACAAACCCATATATCGAGTGACTCAGGTGGGATTAGGCTCCTGTTTGTGCAGGGATCCTGACTCCAAAGTAGAAGCCTTGTTGGTCAAAGTGCACCTTCACCTTCCAGGTCATGGTGATGACCAAATACCTACGGTTGGAGACCCCTGAAGGCTCTGCTACCGCCCCAGCTGGGAAGGAGACGTGCACCAGACCAGTGAAGGATGGGCCTGACACAGTGAATCTCTCTTCGGATTCCTCTCCTCCCCACCCTAGATCTCTGTGAGCCCTGCCCTCCCCTCCCATAGAGAAATCCCAGCACTGGGAGAAAAGACGATGCCTTTATTCATCAGACACATGTGGCCACTGTTGGAGTGTCCAGTTCCCACAGGGCCAGTTCATCTGCTCCCAGGCCCTTCTATATGTTGCTCCCAGGTCACAACATGTGTGGTTGAGAATTCATGGAGAAGATGGTAAAATAACCCAGTGTTTGGCTATGAGATCAGAGGAGGGTTTGGTTTAGGGGTCAGCCAAGGCTAAGAATCACAGGGAAATAGAGTGAGCAGGGTAGTCATCCCATACCAAAGGGCTAGAGACAGTCCCAGCCCTACCACCCAAGCCAGGTAGGGGGCAGGAGAAGCCCCATTTGGGAGATCTTTAGGAGCAGCTCCACTTTGGCGATCTTTATTGACAACCTCAGGGAACTCAACTGTGTGGAACGGCCCAATCATGTTGGTGTGGTTCAACAAGGAGTTGGAAGGTTGGGCCATGCAGCCCTGAATGCTAAGTGCAGAGGTCAGCCCACCTAGAAAGTGAAGACTGAGTCAGAAGGTTCTCAAAGTAGTGCACACTTAAATTCCTAAGACCCGGGAGCCCCAGACCCTAACACCTCCCTCCTCAGACCAGGAGATCAGGCTCTTAGGCCTCCCTGCCCTCACATCTAGAAATATGGGTCCCCGTCACCCTCAAGCCCAAGAGCCAAGGTCTCAAACACCCTCCCACTACAGCAGAAATGAATCCAGGCCCCCAGCCCCTTCATCCTTGGGACCTGGCCTTCAGCACTCACCTCCTTCGAGACCGATGTAACCTTTATAACAACCAGTGGTACCCTTAGGGCATGTGACATTTCCAGAGCCTGTACAGAATCCACCAAGCTGCACACATGTGGGACACTGCAAGTCTCCTGGGACAGGAGCAGCTGGGGAGCAGAAAGGAGGTTGGGGTGCACATCTCTGCACCAAGCTGCAGGCACCTTGAGCCCAGAGATTCTTGTCTCTGAGGCACCATCTCCCCATGACCCTTTTCTCTCCCATCTCCCTGGCTCCCCTACCTGGATGAGGTAGAGAGTTCAGCAGGACACTGGTACTGCTGGCACTGTTGCACCCATTGGAAGAGCAGAAATGAGTGTAGGAGGCAATGAGAATTCCAGGGGGCCCCGAGTGGATGGAGACAGCCTGGGAATTCTGTTTCTCAGTCTTGATGCAGCCTTTGCTCCCCACAATGAGTGATATGGGTCCTGTGGGGGGAGAGTGATAGCTGGATGGTGGTAGGTGAGGCTCTGAGGGAGACTGGAGCCAGGGATTCCTGGATGCTTAGCTGGCAGAGGGTGAACGTAGGTTCCCTGAGTACAAGAGCATGGGGTGGTTGCAGGCAGGGCCAAGACTAGAGCCTGAGTCTGGGTCCTCCCCCAGCTTTGTCCCCTCTCAGTTCTCGCTCAAATATCACCTCAGTAGAGCCTTCCCTGTTTTCACTTTTTCAAATTCGAGTCTTCACCTACTCTCCCGATTTCCTTTCTCTTCTGGATTTTCTGTTTCCCCACTGGTGCATAGAGCTGCAGGAAGGCAGACCCAATGATATCTACAGAGCCTGGCACAAAACATGTGCTCAGCAAATCTCAAAATCATTGGAGTTGCTGTGCACCAGCTCTGTTCTCAGACCTGCATGGACCATCAGATATATTCTCATGACGTCCCAGCACAGTAAGTAACATTACTTCCAGAAGCTAGTCCGCAATGTATGAAGGGGACAGCAAGGTACAGAAAGAGGAAGAATGAGGTATAGAATTCCAGGCATTGGAATCAGGCAAGAAGTTCAGGGGACAGAATTCAGGATGGGAGACCCAGGATGCTGTGCAGCAGTTCTGCCCTGGTGCACAGCTCACGCACCTACATCTATGAGCAGAAGAGTCTCCTGGCACACTTCCTCCAAATCACATATCACATTCATAAATGCATTCCATTCCATGGGTTCCTTAGCCAGGTTTGGTTTAATCTGATGCGTGCCCCCCTGTTGACAGGTCTGAGAATCTGGAAAGAAGAAATCGCCAGCGTTTGTGTCAGCCCAGGAACAAGCCATGTCTCCCCCTCCAGATCTTGTGTTTGGGAAGGTGATCATGTTCTTCAGTCACACTCAGGTAACCTGGACACAGTCACTTCATCTCAGGTGGAGAAGGGACCTTTGACGTGTATGCCTGCCCCCATTCCTTACACCACCACTTCTGCTCCAGCATCTGCAGGAACCTTGCTCAACACCCTTGAAGGCTGCTCCTCCCCTGGGGTGTGGCAGAGAAAGACGGATCTTTCTTAACCTGAGCCATCTCTGCTTCCGTCACTGAGGCTCAAGGTCCTCATCTGGATAACAAGGAGTGTAGACTGACACCTTTGTCGGTCTTTTAACTGAGAAACCCTATGTCCCAAACGAAGTTCCTCCAATGCCTAGTGTGTGTACTGAGCATTTACTATGTGCCTCACTGTGGTGACTGCTTTCCATGGAGTAGCCCATTTAAGGTTCCCAAGGCTCTCTCTCATCCAGGTTACCTCATTTTCTCACAGTGACCACCAAAGTAGGTGGTGTTATTTACCACTCCCCATTTTCAAGATGGAAAACAGAGGCAGAGGAGTGGTGAAGTAGATTTCCCCATGTCCCACCACTAATAATTAGCTGAGCTGGGCTCCCTGGGGCTAGTGATGGAGAAGACAGGGTTTGATGACTATGCTCAGCTACCTAGGCCTCTGAGGTCCTCAGGAGTCCAGTGTGAAACCCAGGAGCCTAGATCGTCACTTAACAGCCATCCCATCACCAGCAGGGATGTATCACGTGATGCATGAATTCCACGGCTGGTAACACAGATTCCACCAACATGTTTAACCTTCCTAACAGCCTCATGAAGGAGGACTGCTCATTCCCTCTCTTCACAGACCACAACACCATGGCTCCTGCTGCCCTGCTCCCAGCCTGGCCCTGCTCTCCCCTCCCCCACCCTCCCCATGTTAGTCAGCAGCAGCTCCTGACTTGCAGTTGCTCCAGTTGAGAACATTGCTGTCATTCTTAACAATCTCTATGACTTACACCCCCTGTTGCACCCATCAGGATATCTTGTTGGCTTAAGCTGCAAAATGACTCCTGACCCTGGCCATTTCTCACCACCTCTGGTGCTTCCACCACTGTCCAAGACCCTATTGGCTCTCACTTGCTTCTTCTTGAGTTTTCCTGGTTTTCCACCCCACACCCACCTCCCACTTCATCTATTTCTTACTCAGAAACCAGTAGAATCCCCATAAAAGGTTGATTGATTCATGTCACTCCTCTGCTTAGAAGATTTGAATAGTTCCCCAACACACTCATATTAAATTTTCTCTTTGGCCCCAAAGACCCTGCCTCTCCATCCACATGTCCTGCTCTGCTCTCTTTTGAACACACTTCTGAAGCTACACTGACCTCTGAGCTCTTTTTTGAACCCCCAGTAGGTCCCCACCCACCCCAGGGTCTTCACGTGTGCTCCTCTGCTCCTGACTGTATGGAATCACCCACTCCTTCTTGAATTTGGTGAAAGAGGCTCATAGAGATGGTGATCCCCCAAAGCTGGTTCAGTGGCACAACCCAGATGGGAACCCACAGCTCCCCGATTGACACCTAGGCTCTTAGCTGCTGCTCTCCTCCTGACGGTGCAGACCCACCACCCTCACTGGCACCACAGCCCAATTCCTAAGGGTCGGTGGCAGTCAAGGCCATTCACATTCCAAGCCTTTGTTATACTTCAATGGGCTCCTGCCATGGCCTGTTTTGGGCAACCTGTGCTCTTGCACCCAGCCTTCCCCCAGCCCCAGGTCTTCCCAGTAGCTGTCTGTCACCCTGGAATGGCCCTTTTCCTCCATGACATCTTGTTTTACCCCAGCTTCTGATGCCTGGTCTTACTGTCGCTCAATAAATGTTTGTTAAACTGCTGAAGTGAACCGAACCAGAAAAGGCAAACACATCCCCTAAGATCTAACTCCAATATTGAAAGCTAACAGAAAAAGTTTATGCATTAGGAATATTCATTTGTGGCATGGAAGCTGTGTTTTGTGTGGCATGTGTGTGGTTTGTGTAGCATCTGTGTATGGTATATGGGGGGGTGTATGAGGTGTGTGACATGTATATGATATGTTTGCATGGTTTGTGTAGTATGTGTGGTATGTGGGTATGATGAATGCATTTTTTGGACAGGTGCAGCATGGCATCAGTTTTTTGTGTCTGTGTTTAGTATATGTGTGGTGTATGTGGCATGTGATGTGTTGTGTGGTCTGTGTGTTGTGTGTGGTGTGTGGTATATGAGGTCTGTGGTGTGTGTTATAAGGTATAAAAAGGCATGAGTGTAGTATGTGATGTGTCATGTCCATGTAGTATTGTGAGTCTGGTTATGCCTGTAGTGTGTATTGTGTGTGTATCTATGTGGTATGGTGTGCTGCATGGATTACGTTTGATTTGTTTCAGGAATGCCTTCTGGATTAAGAATGTTTCCTAGTCCCAAAGATGAGGGCCAGACAACTAAACAGAATTGACCAAAAAGGGAGACTCAGACTATTCTTATGTGGTCAATACTTTTCCATGTTTCCTTTGGTCCCAGGAGAAATGCTAATCCTTTCCCCACCCTCCCTCCCCACTCTAGCACCAATATCCATTCCCAAGACAGGCTCCAGATCAGGTCTGGCCTCTCTGGCCTTGCACCACTGATCCTTCTGCTTGGATTACCTCTTCTGAACTCCCATACCCACTCTGTCTACCTGAAAAACTGATACTCACCTCCTGCAAGTCCCAGCTGCCTCCATCCTCTTGATGAGACCTCCCTTTCTGAAAAAAGCAGGCTTATTCCCATCTCCAGGCCTATACACATGCTGTTTCCTCTGCTTGTTCATGTCCTCTTCCTCTTCTACTAATAAACTGCAGCTAATCTTGAAGGCATAGCTCACAGGTTGTCTCCTCTGTGAAGACCTCCCTGACACCCCACCCCCAGGACATTACTATTTTCCTCCTCACAGCTCTACCAGGCCCCTTCACCACAGCCCTGTGACCACCTGCATCTGTGATGTCTGATCTCCTTGTCCCGGATGTTCTTTAGGGCAGGGACAGGGTCAGGGTCTGAGTCCTCTGCAGTCCCCATGGGAGACCTTGGAATCCTGCAAACTGACTTTTCATCCTGTGCTAGCCCTTGTGCTGCCTCAGTCTATAAACATTGTTATTGGTGACATCCAGACACTGTACTCAACACTCCCAGTCTAGACAGAGGGATCCAAGCACAGAGGACTGTTTGCTGAATCCATTCAATGTTCTCCTTGAAGCTTGAAGGGCTGGGTGCTATGGGCATTGAGGAAACTGAAGTTTGGATAAAGAAGGCTCTCTTCCCACTCTGCTAAATCCTCACTTCCCTCCCTGACTCCTGTGGTCCTTATTGGGACACTCCAGGCTATTATCAGTCTGCCTAGGCATGGCTGGGCTGTGTTTATATGGGTGAGTGGGGACACTTCCAATGTCCCTGCTTGGCTTATGTTGTCGCTAAAACAGCTGAAGCACCCTCAGTTTTCTCTGACCTTACTTCCTCTACAGCACAGCTGCTGGGGTGCTCTGGTACCATGGGTGGGGGATAGATGAGGATGGGGTAGGTAGGGTGGTTGAGAAGAGGTGAGAGACCCAAGGCTTCCCAAGGTTAAGAGTGTGGGGACATAGAACTAAAGGTAATGAGTCACTCTCAGCATGAGAACCAGGCATTCTGCACTCCCTTCTGCATCCAGTGGATGAAGCAGAATCCAAAGCAGCCAGCCAGCCTTGCATTCCACCTGACCTTTTTCCCCCGCTTCCTCCCACATGGACTGTCTGCCGTCACTTAGTTGACTACTCCTGGTGTCATTTAAAACACCCACCAGTGAGTTCCTGTCCTGTATCTGTCCCCTGGACCACACACCCTCTCCCCTTCAAATGGAAGCCTCCTATGAGCACCTTCATCCCAAAGAACCTATCATGACAATCCCTCACATGAAGCATGCCTGAGTGAGGAATAAACTACTTAATCACTTGTGGGTGCTAGTGTTGGTGGGATGTGTTGGATACAGGACTTTCACAAGGGTCATTGTATCCTAAGGCTTCCGGGCTGGTTGTGGCTTTGTCTTCAGGGCATGGGACTCACCGTCAGCACCACAGTTTTCACTCACAGACAAGGACCCGATCTCCCGAGTCTCATTAAGCAGGTTGCAGGCTGCTTGGGACATGCATCCCTGGACTCTCAGTTTGCTGCTGATGCCCTCTGTGGGAAGGGGTCAGGAGAGTGAGAGAGGATGAGATGCTACCACTGGGAGCATCCAACCCTGAGAAGCCAGAACCACCCTCCTCCGTCTCAGGTTTTACCTGCCCTCCCTGCCTTCAGTGCCTACAAGAACCCTATGTCCCAGCTCACCTCCCCTGAGGTCGAGGATCCCGTTGTAGCAGTGTGAGTGCCCGACAGGGCAGGTCACCTCTGTTGCAGATTCACAGCCTTCTGTAGACAAGCAGAACGGGCACCGCACGGATCCTGGGACTGGGAAGTGAGAGGGAAGAAGGGAAGACTAAACTGCCTCCATATTTGAATCTGCGTTTTACCCAGTCCTATTTGCTGACCCCAGAATTAACCTCCTCAGTCTTCCCAGACTTGCTCTGCTCAGGTTTCTCTCATATAGGCCTGGGGTGCAGGGAATTGGTGTCTTGTGGCTGGGGAGAGAGCAAGGGGTGGCATGAGATCTGGGAGGGACACCAGGAACTGATACAGAAGGGGTACCCTGGGAGGAACCAGGGTAGGGTTCACCCACACATCCACTACACAGCCTACAGGATGCCCAAAAGAAAGAGAAGGTAGATCAGCACCCCAAAACTCAGTTTAGGACACATATGAGATTAGTGAAAAGTTATGGCCAAGTTCACTTTGGAATAGGAAATGCCAAAACCCTAAATGAAACATGAGTGAACCAAGCCCAACAGTAGAGAAAAGGGAGTACAGCCCAGGTTCAGACCGTCACCAGAGTCTGAGGTGCAGTCTGGTTTGCTGCCCCAGGACTGTGAGAGGAAGCTGGGCCAGGGGAGGGAGTCCTGGGGACTATGGACAGGCCGGGTGGCCAGGAGGGGTCTGAGAGAACAGTCCTTCTGTGCTCCCCTCCTCCCCAAGGCCCCTCTTCTCTCCCCTTCCTCTTCTCCCTCCTTGTCTCACCTGCAGGAGGGGGCGGGGACCAGAGAGGGAGGGTGGTGGAGAGGTCATTGCAGAGGTCCTTGTGGCGACACACATGGGTGTAGGAGACAATGGAGATGCCAGGGCCTGCCCGGTGCTGGGTGACATGGGCCTCTTGATCTTCCTCCTGGGTACAGCCCTTGGTGAACACTAGGAGCACTTGGGGTCCTGGATGACAGAGGGGCCAGGCCAGGTGAGGATCAGGAGTCCTGGTTCCTAGATGGAGGGTCTGTAGCTGGGATGAGAGGCTGGAGAGGAGGCACCTGGGCTCCCAAGGCTTCCTCCTATGAAGAAGGGGACAGCTGCTGGTGTGAGGGAGGGGGTCTCCTGAGTGTCCACACCAAAGGCAGGCAGGACTGGTCAGGAGGAGGAGGGAGATCCCTGCACATGTGAGAGTGCTGGTCATGCCTGGGGTGTATGGGGTCCGTCTTACCATTATCAAGAAGCATTAGTGTGTCTTGGCAACCCCAGCCCTCACTGCAGGTCTTCCTATCTGCTGTCCACTGAAAGGGCAGTTCTGTTACATTCTTCACAGACAGCAGTGTCCCCGACTGACAGGTCAGAGCCTGCACTCCTGGGAGGAGAACAGCAAATCCATCTTAGTCCATCCTCCCGGGAAATCCCCTCCCAAGTTGGGGTCTTCACTCACGGGGCAGCACAAGGGTGAGGCCTAGGAGGGCTGGCAGCAGGGCAGGGCTCATGGTCAAGGCTGCTACAACTCTCCCGCTCCTGCTCTTTCTCCCAGGAAACTGAGTCCTTTTATACCTGTCCTTGCCCAAGGCAGCCAGGAAAGGGTGGGGAGTGGATGACCTTGCCAAAGTTGGCCTGGGCCCATCCTCTGAGTCTCACAAGCTAAAAGGCCAAGAAACCTGAGTCCTTCCTCTTCCTTATGACCCAAGAGTCCAGCCTCCCAGCCCCCTTCTCTCTCAGACCCAGAAGTCCAATCTTCCTCCTTACTCAGACCCAAGAGTCCAGAACCCAGACCCCTGAACACTTAAAAATTGAGGCACCCTGACCCCCAGCCTCCGTTAGTCAAGATCCACAGCCCTTTTTCCTCCTGAGACCAGCTGTGCAGGTCTCCACCCCCACCTTGTTACAGGATAGTTTGTGAAGACAATTTCTTCATTTGTCCAGGCAACCTGGCCACCTTCTGGGCCCAGTTGGGAAAATGGCCCAACTGCTTGTGAGGACATTAGTGGTGGGTCTTGGCTGGTCCCTATGGCTTTTCTACCTTAACCTCTGTCTCTCACAGATATGTACCTCTCTTTTCTTTCTCATTCCTTCCAGTATGGCTTTCCTTTTTATTCCCCTTTCCATGATCTTCTTCATGCTTTTATTCTCCTCCTTCTGATTCTGATTCTTATTCGCCTTCTCTTTTCTCCCTACCAGCACAACACAGGCTGAGAGCTCCTAGTTCCTGGAGCCCAGGAGGGAGCTGAGGTATCACAGGGAGAGTAATGGCAGTGGAAGAACTAGGATATTCCTTGACAAAGCAAAGTTTCTCTGCTAGAAACAGATGGGAACAGTGATGTGCTAGAAACACAGCTTTTCAGAAAAACAGGATCAACAAACCCTGTCTCATAATGTTGGCCTGTTAATGAGGTGTGAATTCTCTTACCACATCTGATTTTGAAGCCACCAACAGATTAACAAGATGACTTTGCCAAATCCTAAATAATTAACAATAGGTTTCACTGGCATGTGCTAATCAGTTCTAGCTCACTGGGTAGGAGGGAGGCTGGAAAGGATATGGAGCATCTGTCAGTGAGTGCAGAGGCTAAAAAAGGAGAAAAGAAAGGGTGAGAACAACAGTAGAGGAGAAAGATAAGTGAATGTGTAACTTGCAATGGTGTGTATATTTTTTACATTTTTATACATTTTGTTTTTATTTTGTTTTCAACTTTCAGATGTGCCACACAGTCACCAGTGTGAGTCCTATGTCCTACTGAGTCTGCACCACTAACTGGCGTACCATGGGTGCTCAGTAGATATTTACTGATTGAGTTAGAGGCTGAGTGAATGAATGAAAGAGTGAAGAGGAGGAAAAGATGGCATTATACTCGTGTAGGCTGTGCAGTTTTCAAACACCATCTCCTCCCCACCGATTCACATTGTTGCTGTGTGAATGGAGCCCTCTGAAGCTGTGTGTGGCCTGAAGCAGGGTCCCTGGAAGAACAGGAGAAAGAAGGTGGGTAAAGGGACACATAGGGTAACAGGTCATCCATTAATTTCTTGTTTTAGTGAACAAATATTTACTAAGGCTGAAATTTGTGCCAGGCACTCTCCCAGTTGCTGGAGATACAAGAAAACCAACAAGAATGAGGTTCCTGCTTTTTGGAGCTCACAGACTAAGAAGAGAGACAGACATCAAACAAATAAATGAGCACAAAAGAATCTTAGATGGTCCTGGGTGTTGGGCAGGTGATGTGAAAGTAAGTGACTGAACTGTGAGCGGGGGATGGGGGGCTCCCTGAGGAGGTGAACATTGAGCTGAGGGCAGAGTAAAAAGAAAGCTTTCCATGGAAAGACAGGTGAGTAAAGTATTCTAGGCAGAGGGGAGGACATTTGCAAAGTCCTGAGGTGGAATCAAGCTTGGATTTTTTGAGGCTTAGAAAGAAAGCAGGGCTGGAGTGCCATGGCTAAAGGGAGTGTGATAGAAGACAGGATGGGAAAGGATGGTAGGGGTCTGGCCAGGTAGACTAAGTCAGGACATTACGGCAACCTTTCTGGGATCCTGATGTGGACTACAGCCAGTGCTGTCCATAGTGTTGTGGGTGTGACAAACAAAATCACATGGACTGCAGAAGTCCTGTGGAGAAAAGGGACAGCATGGCCACTCTGAGTTAGAGAGCGCCCTGACCCTTGCCTGGACAAGTTTTTATTGCTTTTCTGGGAGCATTACATCCAGGAAGGTCCTCATTTATTATGCTCAGGTTTGCTTTAGGTGATTACTTCTTGCAGATAACAAAGAAAAGAATGTTGCAAATGTAAAGGAATGATAAAAGTGATTGATCTGGTTACACTCCATCCTTGGAATGGCTTAGCACAGACTTTAGGGCATTACTTCAAAGATATACATTAAGCATCTGTTGTCTTAACTCAGGGTGATGGAGTATTAGCAAAAGCAAGCCTCCAAGCAGCCTAGATATAACACAGGCCTGGTCCCCCATGGGAAAGCTGATCTGTGGGCTTGGCTCCTATGTGCTGATTTGTGCCTGTCAGTTTTCCAAACCAGGGCTGAGTTATATTCGCCATTGCCATGCAGACTGGTTCCCTATAGGATCCTGAATCTTTCAGATGGCAAATGCAAAGTCTGTGGCACTGTTTAGCAAAATGTCTGACAGTTCTTGGTGTAAAATTCTGTTGGCTACCTGGGCTGTTTCTGCTTGCCCCTGACTATGGAATCTCAGGATTTTCACTTCCCTTCTCTGAACTTCCTTCTCCTCTGTCACATAGGTGTAATGATTATCTGCACATCATGGATGGAGGATTATCTCTATGTAACAAAGTGGACTCTTTGCAAATGATAAAAAAATAGGTAATATTATGAGCCTTTACTCTGTCCAAGTCCTAGTCCAACCACTTTGTGTATTTCAACTCATTGATTCATGCCCACAACTATGAGGGGGATCTTATTAATTGCCTAGTCACATATGTAAAGAAACTTAAGTCCAGAGAAATAAAATAACTTGCTTAAACTCATGCAGTATGACAGAGATAACTACCCATCAATGATCTTTGCCCCCTTCAGGGTGTAGAGCTCTTACTAAGTGATGACTATCCAGCTAGTGACTACACATCTCAGTCTCCATTGCCTGTAGGTGGACCATGTGACTATTTTCTACCAATGGAACGAGAGCAGAAATGATGGGTGTCAATTCTGAGCCTCAGTGATTAAGAAGCAGGAGTGACTTCTTCTCCCATCTATGTGGCTTTCAAGGGTGACCTTGGAGCCACACTCAGATTATGGCACAGACTTGATCAGCCTCAGTCCCTGAGAATATGAGCAGGGGAGAGCACACCTCCCTTCCCCAAAATACTCCACCAAGTAGACATGTTGCAACTGAGAAAGAAAAATCTATTATGTTAACCCACACAAATTTAATTTGGTGATGTATTTGTTGTCAGAAGTAGGATTTCTAACACATGACATGACAAGGAAGTGTTTTCCTTGAGGCAGATGTTCTAGAAGCAGGGCCCGAGACAGAGATGCTTATTCAAGTGCTTTCCTGAGGGAGCATTTTCAAGAGAAGGGGAGTGAGGGAAGCAGGCTGGGAAGGCAGGGAGACTGAGGACAGAGGGGTCTGAGCTGGAATCACACGTTAGTTCAATCCCACACACATATCACCACAGAGCTGGACCAGCTGTGAAAGAACACCACCGCTGTACACCCCCATTCCAGTGAGCCATTGGCCAAGGTCTGTCCCCAAGTGGAAGGAGTGAAGGGTGTGTGGTTACTAGCTCCCTCTGAGTGAGGTTGATTCTTGAGAGAAGAAGCAGCTCTGAGGTACTACTGTCGGCCCAAGCCAGCTAGACAAGGGCATGTGGATAGGATATGGTATATCCACTCCAGGGCTGAGGACATGACCCCAGGGGCTGGCTCCTAACCATGACACCTGTGTAGGGATCTTCTGAGAATTTTGAGTACTACCAACTTCATCACAAGAACAGAAATACTAACAAGGACAAACACTACCTTATATTACCAACTGTATGGAGTGCCATAGATAACAGCTCTAATGAATTCACCCAGCACTGCCAGGACAGCTTTCTTTCCTTTCTTTCCTTTTCATTGGGTGCAACAATGGCAACAGCTCCCTGTTCTATGGAGAAGAGGATCCAGACACTGACAGAGGGAAAGATGCCAGCCAAGGCCTCTAGGTCAGGCTATGTTTAAGGGAGTCAGATCTGGGCCCCTCAGCTCACACTCTGGCAAACTCATTTTGCTTTCTCCTCCTTTACTGGTCACTGGGCTCACCAGGTAGCAGAAGGCTGGGTCAGGCCAGAATTTGCTCTCAAGATTCACCTACAGATGACAAAGCCAGACCTTTTAGCATTTCTGTGGGGCTGCCTCCATACTTCTCTCCAGCAAACACACTTCTCCCTGAGACTGCCGTAGACTTCCTTAGCGACTCAAGGAGCAAGTACTTCTCCTTGGGGTTTCCCCAGGTCCAGCCCCTACCTCTGTCACTGCTCTGATCTTCCTGGGTAGTGACTGGCCCCATCTGTCTTCTCATCTCTAAGTCCTGAGTAAGACCCCACACAGGGCCCTGTCCACACAGGAGGGCTATGGAGGGTCCAGAAGGTCCACCTCTCTTTAAAGGGTAATTTCCCTTTGTTCCCTAGTGTTTTTATTTACAAAAATATCCAACCTACCAAAAAGATGCAAGGACTCTCATATCCTTAGATCCACCAGGGGTTATCATTTTGCTGTATTGGTTCACACACAGTTTTACAATATTTTTAAATAAAAAAAAAGTGGTAGACTTTGTGACTCGTACTGCTAAGTGCTTCAGCAACTAGAATAAAGACCCTTATGAATAAAGACCTTGTGGCATGTAACCCCAAGTCCAGGATCATACCCCAGTAATTTACACTGGTACAATACTGTGATATATTTAGTACATTTTCAATTTCCCTCTTCTGTGCCAATAACATCCTTTGCATTGTTTTGTTTTGTTTTTGGTCAGGGAGATAACCC